GTGTTGGTTAGCTTTGTTAATGCTAAATTCCTGTGAATTTAACTTTGAACTTATTGAGTTGGTGGAACTTCTCATTATCATCATTTTCTTTGTTATACTCATTTTTATTGTCATTTTCTATTATTATAAGCTCCTTTGCCTTGAGAGTGTAAATCTCATTATGAAGCTCTATATTTTCTTTCATGAGTTGATTGTTGATGCACTATATCTTTGTGCATATTATCCCTAGAACTACATACTGTGAGACACAAAATCCCTAGGCCCCAAAGTGGAGCCGGAAGGGCGCCACATGGTAGTGGCCGAAGCGAGAGCCAAACGAGTGTAACACGTTTGGACCAAAAGCTCCGACTTGAAAAGTCAAGAGCGGGAGTGGAACTCCCAACGAAGTGCTCAAGGAACGAGCACGAAGGGAGCAAAAGGCGAGGCTCTAAAAAGAGACCCAAAAGGACCAACACATGACACGTGGGAGTGTCCGAGATGGACTCGAGTTGGAGTCCGAAGTGGAGTCCGAGATGGACCCGAGTTGGAGTCCGAAGTGGAGTCCGAGATGGACCCGAGTTGGAGTCCGAAGAGGAGTCCGAGATGGACCCGAGTTGGAGTCCGAAGTGGAGTCCGAGATGGACCCGAGATGGAGTCCGAGATGGAGTCCGAAGTGGAGTCCGAGGTGGACCCGAGATGGACCCGAGTTGGAGTCCGAAGTGGAGCCCGAGATGGACCCGAGATGGAGTCCGAGATGGAGTCCGAGATGGAGTCCGAAGTCGAGACCGAGACCGAGACCGAGACCGAGACCGAGATCGGGACCGAGACCGAGACCGAGCCCGAGGCCGAGACCGAGCCCGAGCCCGAGCCCGAGTCCGAGTCCGAGTCCGAGTCCGAGTCCGAGTCCGAGTCCGAGTCCGAGTCCGAGTCCGGAGCCTGAGAGGGTGAAAGCCCAAAGCGTTCGTCTCCCAGACCCTGGGGGGTTTGGTGAGCTCCAAAAGTATAGTAGGGGGAGGACTGCAGTGGAGCCAGTTTGGCCAGGAAAGGCCAGTTTGGCCCAGGAAGGCCGGACCCAGTGTTGGGTGATGAGCTGCCCACTGGGAAGTCCAAGACTAGAGTGAACACAGACCGACAAGCGGGGTAGCTTGGTGAAGTGTTCAAGAGCCGGCTCTAGTTCCCCCGGGAGATCGACTGGCCGATGCTCCCAGTCCAAGTGTGGGTGGCACTACCTACTTGGATACCTGGTGTGGCTCAACGGAACCCGCTCTAAGCCCATGGCTAGAGCACCCAAGGGCAGAAGGCGAGGAGAGTACCCAGGTGGCTCGCGTAAGGCCACGGTGTTCCGAAATGTTGTCCCAAAGGCCCAGACTGTGGAAAGGAAGAGGAGCAGTTCTCTGGGGTAGTGACCAAGGACACAGTCGTGTGGTGAGGAAGTCTCAGAGGACCGTGGGACTTAGTGGTCGGGCCTGTGGGTCTCGATCCAGTGGCAGTGTTGGCAAACACGGCCAGGGGCAGAAAGGGACTTAGTGGGGACTGACAGAGGGATATTGAGGAAGGCTATTCCCCTTGTCGGTGGGCATCCTAAGGATGCTAAGGAGTGGATCTGAGATGACCACTCACGGATGGTTTTCCTAGTCTTGGAGAGCCAAGACGGTGATGCAAGTGGTATTGGACTACCAGTGTGGCAAAGGTGATTGGGCATGGCCTTAGCGTAACGGGCTGCTATGTCGGTGGTACCTTTGAGTGTCGGTCATGGGATCGGACACGTGGAGCACTTGGACCAAGTGCAAATGTTGAGTGGCATGGATGCCATTCTCGGGGCTAGCAAGTCCCAAGTCCTGGATTGGACTTATGGAGGTTGTGAATGAGACTCCTCCAAGTGGTCAGAGGTGTGGTTAAGTGACTAAAGTAGAATGGAAAATTTAGTCGCTTACACATACCTCTAACACTCTTTTTGAGTTGTTGGATGTCGTTTTAAATCTTTTTAAGCTTTATGTTAAGGGGCTGGAAAACGACAACATTGATCATAACTTACAAAAACACTCATTTATTTATCATGGAACTGTTATGTAAAATTTATTAAGATTGGCATCTGTGGCATCAGCTAGAAGCATTAAACTTCATTGACAAATTATAAAAATGCCAAGTTGAGCAACTGATATAGCAAAAGTGTAAATTTCAATCTGTGTATTAAAAAATAAAAACTTTAGTAAATAGTAGATTTAATTAAACTTAAATAAGCCTAGTATATAAAGAGTCATAATACTATGAAAAAAAGTTGAAGATTTTACAATAATTTCAAATATTTTATTAATTTATAAAAAATATAAAGTTAATTATGTTTTGAATACTCTGAGTACAAAGTTCTAAAAAAGTGTGTGATATGTAACATCAAAGTGTCACATCTAGAAAACTATAAATCCTTTTTTTGTAAATAAAATTTTAAACAATGTAGAATGAAATGACAACTGAATAGTATTATAATAAATAATTACATGCTAAAATTAATTTAAGTGTAATAAAATATTTTTCTAGAAATATTTTAAATTATTTATTTTATTTTAATATCAGTTATTTGTATCAATTTTGTAATTATCTTTTATGCTTAAATGGCTCAAAACCTTCTATCTACTTGTTATTTATATTCTTGAAAAATGTCATTGGTTTATTGTAATTATATAAATAAACCCTTCTTTAAGAAGAGAATATTCTAAAATGGTTATACTTTAATGTCATTCTTTTACCCTTCCAAGCTCTTATATGGATGGCCCCGGAAGTAGTGATCTTCGTGGCAGGCGAACGATTTGTCGATGATAAGTTCAACTTGGAAGCAGCTGAATTCTTCCGAAAGATCTGCAAATGTGCACTGGATGCTGGAGGAGGCAGTCGCCTGCTTGTGGATCTTCCAAACTTCCCGGGAGGCTCAGATGGCTTTGATAGACTTCTCAAGGCCTTGCAAGAGCGTGACAATCGGGTGGACGGGTCCAACGTTGCAGTTCTTCGTGCCGCCTCCAGCTTCTTGGAGATCCCACTCCTAGATCGATGGTGTGACCTGCTATGGATTCGCGAGTCTAGAGATGGCGACGCCATTGCCAAGCTCCTCGACAAGGCCCTGCCTACATTGACAGATTTGTCCACCCACGCCGAGGTATCGCTCTTCTTCTCGGATGCTTTGAGATTTCTTTCGATGCTGGAGGAATCGCTCGACAAGGTTTTCGAGAAGGTGATGTTTCATCTATCGAGCGAGCTTCTCTCCTTGTTCCTGTCCTGCTTTTTCGAGAAAAAAGTCCTCCCGTATGGTGCCTTTGTTCTCTGGGGGGTCGCGAAGTCCTTCGTCACTGCTCTACACAAGCTCATCTTCAAGGTTGGATGTGTGCAAAGGCTCCAGATTTGCCGCAACGCCGGGCTTTTCTCCGAGTTTCTGCTCAAGCATTTCCAAGAAAAAGTAGATCTCCATGAAGAACACATGAGGAAACTCCCTGATCGAGGCAATGTGGACGACACCCTCGACGGCTTGCTTGCCATCTTTCCAGCTCTTGCGCTTTTGGATTTCCTGGCTGCTTCTAGTTCACGACTGAAGAAGATCGACCGCAACTTGATCAAGGCCTTGCAGATCGACTTCTTTGGGAATCTCCTTCCGTGCGATCAGAGTCGAAGAACTGGTTTTCCTGATTCCATCTCGGCTCTATCTCTCGCTAGAAACTTTGCGAGGCATCAGCCAGAATACACAAGGCTCGCCGTCCACTTCATGGAAGTCTACTTGCAAGAGTCGTGTCCAGGGCAGATGAATCTCGACGAGTTCTTGGAGGTCGCCGGCTTCATCTCCGATCGATCGACTGGTCACGACATTCTCTGCCAGGAGATCAACAGGTTTATAATGACCAGCATCGAGGACTTCGACAGGGAGAAGCTCCGGGAACTCTTGGCCAAAGTGGACTGCGCTAAACTCTTCGAGTTAAAGCTTGAGAGCGTCGTACTGGACAAGCTCGATCTGCTCCAAAGTTTCAGGAGAGAGATGCGTCTTCTCGACATGAAGATCAAGAGGAAATGTAGCTACTGTTTCGACATACCCACGTCCTCGAGCGATCAAGATTCCACCAGCGAGGAAGAATGCGAGCATCAGCGAAATCAGCATCAGCTTTCTCGCAAGAACAAGAGATCCAAAAGGTAAGAAAAACTCTAGAATACTCTCTAAGTGTTTCCTGAGCTCGGAATCAATCTAGATCATCGCCGGAGACACAGCTATGGATCACGGTGGTCTCGCCCACGACAGGGAGCTCGTACACAGCGATGTTTCCAAGCAACGCGAGCGTGAGAGCGATCAAGAGAAAGGTAGCACATGAGCTTGTATCAAACGAGAAGAAGTGGCAGCTTTGCTATAATGGCGTGGCTCTAGACCCAAGGAAGACGATCCATCACTACTGCGTTGGCGATTTCTCGGTTCTGACCATTCAGGGGAAAGCTCCCCAGACTTAGTCAACGTTGGTCAACATACCAGCATCGAGGACTTAAGACGAGCATCGATCACGCTTTTCACTCAGTAATGATTTCTAAGGCTTCTCCATAGGTACCAAATTTCTACTTCTCTAACTTTGGAAGTCTTGGTTATGAGTGCGAGCAATTAGGTGATTCCATTCAGTAAGTCTCCACTTTAGCTTGTATAACTCTTTAAGTTTCTTCTTTGAGATTTACATTTCATTCTTGTTTGAAGGCATGCAATGAGGGTGGCCCAGTTGTGCTCGGATACTGGCATAACAAGGATCCAATGCGATGTCCCCAACCCCGGCATTTCTAAAGGACGGAGAGCTCTAAAGTTGGTCAAGAACCTAAGACCTCTAACTCACAGGCCTGGAAGGTAGGCTATTGATTGCTCTGACTCGTGAGCCCAGGCCTCGAAAGCTTGAAACCTTACCTTGGAATCTGGGTGATGTCTTCGTCCGTGAGCATGAGCACAAGCGTTTGGCAGAAAAGTGGATCTTCGGCAAGGTTGAGTTCTTCTGGGATTTCTCTAAAACCCGGGGTTGTGATCACAACTACAAGCCACCGCGAACTACACTTATCATACTAGCTCTCGTCACCAATGCCCCGAAGGTACGGAAACTCTGAGAATTTGCCCTCCAGGTCCACTCCTCATCCCTCGCAGCTCTGACGAATCTTGCAAGATCCGCGGCTATCACATTCCCAAAGGCACTGCGTTGTTTACTTTGGCCATGGGACGCGATCCAAGAATCTGGGAACACCCTACGAAGTTTATGCCCGAGAGATTCCCAGGGCTAGCATTTCGAGCTCAATACCGTTTGGATGGTTTGCTATGTCCAGGGAAAGGTTTACACTCCTTGGAGGTGGTATAAGAGCTTTTAAATTGGAAGCATATTCTATTTGGTCTATAATCCAAACATTTTGGATTTGGCATTTTTCTCTTCTTTTATTACTTTATTAGGGCTCCTCCCAGCTATGGCTTCGTCTCCAATGGAGGACATGGTTGCCGACCTGGAGAAGCTTGCGGCGGCGCTCCCATCGTCGCAGCCGCCATCGGCATCCTCGAATCCACGGCAAGGTCTGTCATTCTCGGTAGCAGGAGTAGGATTAGGCAGCGGCGGTGATGGCGGAGGCAGCGGCAGCTATGGCGAGCGCTGGGATCGACCGACGATGCCCTCAGAGCTTATGGACAGCACGCTCAGCCTGGATTTCGGCAGTCTTGGGGCGGAGCCAGCGCCAATCGAAAGAATCCCCGAAATATCTGGAATCGCTGGGGTTCCAGCAGCTCTAGCTCCATCGCCTTCCCAGAATGGGGAGAATGGGGAGAATGGCGAGAATGGCGAGGAACGGGGACGGCTTTTGATCCACTACGTGGGCGGCTCCATCACGTTCTTGCTCCAGATCGCCGTGGTTGCGTGGAGCGTGAGGCAGCTTCGCAGGGTCTTGGCTCGGCGGCGACAGATGCTTAGAGATGGACAAGGGGTGAGCGAGGCGAGGATCAATAGCCTTCCTTTCAGGCCTGTGGATTCTCCGCTCTACGCGATGCTAAGTCCCAAGGCGGTGAGGAAGCTCGCGGAGCTGGATAGCGTGCCCTTCTTGCTCATCGACGTGAGGCATCCGGATGCTGTTCGTGCCAGCGCCTTCTCGCTCGAGTACGTGATCAACATTCCAGGTACTTCTTTCCACCTTTTGTTCTTGTTTGTTTGGCTTGCTTGTTCTTTCTTTCTTTGTGTTTCTTTCGTTTGGTTGTTTTGTTCTTACTTTCTTTGTTTGTGTTCCTTTTCTTTATTGCTCGTGATGTTTCTTGTCCCTTGTTTCACTGTTGGCTTCTGTCGGTGTTGTTTTTCGGGCTTTTACACCTGAAATTGACGTTCTAGTAATGCAGAAAGTGAAGTGAGAGCCTGCTTACAACTCGTAGAAAGCGTATGGGATAGCCGGTTTCCAGCAGCCAAGCAACCGACGAGAACCGCTATTCTGGTTTTTGTTTCGACGAGAGGACAGCGAGCACAACGGGCTGCTACTGTTGCTGCTGAGCTTGGCTTTAACGGGTGAGAGACAAACGTTATTCTTTGTGTCACGACTTACTCTTCGGCATTTATAGATGCTGTGTTCTTTCTGGAGGAATCCAAGCGTACATGTCCGATGCCGGAAGGTCCTACATCAATTTTCTGGGAAGGTTTGGATGCTTTCTTGCCGCTTGGTGAGTCATGCAAGACCTCATCTGTGTAGGTGATCCAGGGATGCTGTTGCATTCGTACTGCAGGAGGCGGGATTTAACGCAAAAGAGCAGCAGCCAGGCATCCGGCCTCTGTTGATAGACGTTCGCAGATATGACGAGAGGTCCCTCTACGGCCACATTCCTGGCTCTTTACACATTCCAGGTACCAAATTCGTACTCACTGTAATCTTCTAAACAGCTGGAACTTGCAGTGGAAGAATGGCCTAAAGGCTTGGCTATGAGTGCGAGCGATTGGGAGAACAATCATCATTTTCCAAAGATTGAGGAGAACGACGTGGTGATCCTATACAGTGAGTCTCCACTTTAGCTTTACAACTCTTTTTCCTCATCATTTGTCATTCTTGTGCTTAGGCAGGACGTCGAAGCGAGCAATGTGGGTGGCCCAGTTGTGCTCGGATGCTGGCATAACAAGGTAAAATCAATAGAGGAATAGAAAAAGAAGTAGCTTGTCATGCTCTTTCTAGGTGCTATGTGTACAAACAAGGAGTTTCTGGATGGCGTTTGGATCCAACAGTGCTTCCTTATGATCGATACGAACAGGTTCTTACACTTTTCGTTTCGTTTCGGGAAGCTCGCTAAACGTTCTTGGTTATACAGGGAGATGCGCCACCCGAGCCTCTGAGTTTCGAGGTTGAGACTTACAACCGAGAGGCTGCCGAGATCGAGCTAAGGCAAAAGGGGTTTATCGTGACGATCCAAACTCCAGCAGGTGATTGATCTCTCAAGTTCTCATCAACCAAAAGTATATAAAATCTGTGGAAGTAATCGTCGGTATGATTTCTATCCGCTGAGCTCTTTGTGATACTCACTCAGGTGATAAAGAAGACAAGATATATGACGAGATCATCCATGAGCTCGAGCTGGAAAAAGCACTGCTCAAAGAAATCGATAGCCGAGAATGGCAGTGCAACACTGGCTAAACGAAAAAGCTCTTGGAGTTCTTCGTTCTCCAGAGTTTCATGTCCACTCGTTATTCTCAAAGAGATGGAACAAAGAGAGAAGAAAAAAAGAAACTCCAAACTCCAAACTCCACCTCCACAAAGCTTACTTCTTCCTGGTGAAAAACTTGTATCCACTGTAGCCCACAACTCCCCATCCAAAGATCACTCCAAGCACAATCTAAGAAGGGGAAAGAAAAGAAATGGCTCGATCGATCGATGGAAAGGGGAAATCACGATTTCTTACTTGGTGCTCCTTCCAAGACATGGGGCTGAGCGGCGCCTGGTACCAATTCACTCTGTGCACATCGTCGTGCCCTGGAAAAGCGAACAAACCGCTCGCTCTAGATGTTCTCAAAGATTTTGCCCATACCTCCCGCGGACATCATCCGGCGTGGGATGATCTGGTGAGGCGAGGATGCCGGGCGCGCGAGCTTTGAAGCGATGGAACGAGCTGCCGTCGCCATAGCCGCTTCCTCCCCTCCGTTTCCACTCTACTTTTTTAGGGCTCTACCACAACGAGAGGTTTAGGGTTTTGTTGCTATGGAGCATCGCGCGCCGGACGTTGCCGCCTTCTTCCAGCCGGGAGCTACATTTCCTCCGGATCGAAGGATCTTCCTTGCCGCGGCGAGATTGAAGGTAGAGATGGGATTTGCTTCGGAGAATCGATGAGTAGAAATCGATCATTCCAGGTCTTTCGGCAGCGGCAGCGGCTTGTTCTTCTAAGAGCAGCCGCTTTGTATGACAAGTTCGTGGATTTCGCGGTGGATAGCGTCTCTCGGTTCGAGCAGCTCGTGGAGCCGGATGAGATTGTCAAGGTATGGTGGAAAAATTTAGAGTATCATTCGGATTTCTCTCTTCTTTTTTTCCAGAATCATGTAGGGGAAATTCTCGCGGAAGATCGAAGAACTGTCATCAAGAGCCATGCTTACCAGTCGAAAAAAATCCGGATGCTTCGCTCGGCTGTTATTGATGGTGGAGAGGCAATGCAGGTAAGAAGAACAAGGAAGACATAGCTTGTGATCAACTTGGTTCTTTGCAGGTGTTTAACATGGCCATTTTTCCAAGGCCCTGCTTCGATCTGCCTATCTTCTGCGCGGATTTCTTCACTTCGTCGTCTAGGAGCATTTTCGTCTTGTAAGTTCTTGCGGTTTGGAGGTTCTTTCTTTTTCCTCGTTAGGTTCTCTATGTTTCGTGATTGTGTTTTCATTCCATTTTCATTCTAGGCTTTTCCCTCTGCTTCTATAGGGATTTAAATCCGCTGTATAACGTCGAAGCCGACAAAGCTTACAAGGACAAGTACTACAGTGAGCTCCTGCCGTTAGTTAAAAAGCATAGCAAGGTGATTTCACAAGCTTCTAAGATTTTGTCAATGCTTTAACGTGTAGCACCTGGCTGCAGCTGCTTCCATGGGGTGAGAAACTTACTGGGGAATCGTTGCAGTTCTTTTCGCCGATCGTTTTGTGGTCAAAGCCCGAAAGCAACAAGGAAGTTGACGAAGCTATCTATCTGGCGTTTCAAGATTATATAATGGTAAAGCATCATAGAATTGCCAATGGTTTGGGTGTTGAACTGGGTCCAACTCGCAGGCGTGGACAAGGATTATAGGTGCTGCCACAAGTGAGACCGATATCGATGCGACTTGTAGGAACAAAGTGGCTCACCACCGTTACTTGACATGGCGTGCTTCGAAGGTATGGAGCTTTTCGGAGATTCCTATCGACCAACACCTGTTTTACAGGATCCTGGACGGCCTGTCTTGAGAAGGCTTCTAGGAGAGGATCGATGCGAGGTACTGTGAATTGTTTCGCTGGGCCAAATAACCTTCGTTTCATGCAGCATTACATCCACGAGTTTCTGTTCAATGGACTGCATGACCTCGGCACCAGTTCCTTCACGGAGTACTTCCCCGAGTACAGGTGCGAGGACGGTACTGTCAACACCGCGCGCAGTATCATTGGGAAGTCTTACTCCGAGCGCCCTTGGAATGATACGGGGACTTTCATTCATCGTTCCGGCTGATAAGAGGTATAGAGATCTATAGGTTCGAGCTACGTGTAGGGATGAACACGAGAGTTGGGAGGCGCTCGAGTACGCATGTCAGCCTAGGTAAGCCGAGGCTGTGCGTGTGCGTTTCTCCAGAAAGCTAACGGACGAGATTTGATTTAGTGCTTAAACCGGGGGGACGAGGAGCGTCAGCACACGTGCTACACCTTTGAGAAAACGTGGTTCAAAGTTTTGAGGTGCGAGTCCTTTTTTTTTCGCTGCCACTGCTGACTCGTTCCCGTGTTTCATCTGCAGCTTGTCCGCAAAGTGCCTGTGGGGAGTGATGTGAAGGTACACACAATCCTCCTGTGCTGGATCGTGAGTCCGTTAGCTCTCAAGAGTGTGCGAGTATTCAATGGACTGCGTATGCCACCTTGGAGTTCTCTTGCTCCTCCAGGGAAGTACTCATTGGTGAGAAAAATGTCGTCGGAACGCCTCGGGGCCCCTCGATCTGGCGTCGCGGTTTATGCTTAATGGCATGGTGTGATGAACGCAATCACTGACTTTACTTGCAAACCGCTGTGTAGTAATGGCGTCTGTTACGTGTTGTTCCGAGGTTATGAAGCTCTCTCATCAGAATCAGCACCCTATCATTCCACGGACGACTATGAGCCGGATAGAGAGGTAAGACTTGCATACTTCGTTTGTATTCGAATATCCAGGCTTTTCTGGATCTGATCTTTACTTTTGCGAAGCAGATAAAGCTGGAGGCAGGCCATGAATATGGACAAAGCCGGGTGTCGCTTCTCAACATCATGAGAACGTGTGACTGCTTCATATCGAAAGGCAAGGAAGGAGAAAAATAAGCATTTTTTTTTTCCACCGTCAGCAGGGTGGTGAGTGATGATTACTACGTTGTTGACAAATGGACGAAGTTTGTAATTACAGGCAGCGGAGCAGCGGAGCGCAAGGCAAGGACCGGGGCGGGACAGCGAGAAATGGTAAAAATCCTTGTTCGCTCTTTCTGATCCCTCCTTTTCTAGCCTGGAAGAGTGAGGAGAGGAAGCACTCCTTTGCCTTGCCTGATCTGATTCCTTTGGTGACATTTTGGCAGGTTCCTCACAGATAGCAGCTATAGCAGGTGCTCGCAGGAAGGTGGCCAGAGAAGCAGTCTATCAATGAAGGAATGGAGAGAGACCTTGGCTGTAAGTGGACCTGGTCTTTGCCTTGACCCCAGCCTCCTCTTCTTGGAAGGCTATGTAGCCGGCCACGAAGTGGAGAGATTGCCAGCCCCAGTAGCAGCAGCAGCAGCAGCAGCAGCAGCAGGGAGATTCAGCAGCAGCCTGTGAGTGCCTTAATGTGTATGCATGATTGATTCTTTCCTGGTGGGCTTTTCTTTCGCGCAGTGAGAAAGAGATGGTTGAATCAATGGCTCGAGCTTTTATATACGGACTCAAGGACCCGCTCGCGAGCACCGGATCAGTATAGCAAAAACGTATAGCGTGTCCGCCGGTGGCTACCTAGGTGAGTTTCTTTCCTTTTTATTATCACTTAGTTTCATCGATCGGATCAGTCAAAGCAAAGCGTGGCTGCTTCTTCGATTTAATCACGCACGCTTGCTGTTTGTGTTTGTTGGGCAGGACTGGAAGAGACACGGACTAAACACACTCGGGTCGTGGAAACGTGCCATCGCAAACTCCAATGCAAACAAAACAGTGAGTTTTCTTAGTTTGTCGGCCAGGATTCCTGCTTACTTACGTTTTGTTCCAGCGTTGCCGCCGCTCACTCCATGAATCTACTCCATGAATCTACAGCAAAAGGAAAAGCTTTGAAATCAACAAAAAAAAAAAGCTTCTTTTGATGATCGTGAACACGAACCATTGCGCATGATACATAAATGAATTGCCAGAGCTCCATATATGTTTGTTTCTCCTCTATATGACAGAAATCGTATGAGCATTGGCGGTGGAGAAATCACCGCGACCAAACCCCAAAAAAAAATTCGATGCAATCGAAATGCTGACGACGATCATCCTATCCCACGAAAGAAAAATCTCACCTCCACGACGAGGAACAAGAGAGAGACCAATTCTCCATCCAATCCACCAAGAACACTGTTCTTTCCAAGTAGCAAAAGAGAGAGGGAAGAGAGAAGAACCTCTTGGCGGCGATGGCGATCACATTGGCGGCCTGGTAGCTCCAGCGGCAGCGGCGGCCGCCCAAGAAGCCAGCAATTCCGGCGGCGGGATCTGGTGGTGGTGGTGGTGGTGGTGCGCCGCCGCCGCCGCCGCCGCCAGCCCAAATGGATCGTTCATCAGCTGGTGGATCGGGATCGATGGGGGCGACGAATTCCCGTGCTGCGGCAGACCCAACTGGCCGGAAGTGGAATTGGGACTGGGATTTGCCGCCGCCCCCGCGGCTGGCTGTTCTTCCGGAATCTCGCCATCTTGATCGTCCAGTGGCAGGCGATCGAACGCTGGGCCGACGAAGGAGGCGGCGATGACCATCACTGGAGAGGCCGACACCAGAGGACCGGCCACATTTCCACCGAGGACCTGTCCTTGCGGTCCCCCGGCCACGGACACCGCTAGCCCGGAATATGCCCCCAAGATGCCCGCGCTGGGCATTTGCTGCTGGAGGAATGCCCCGGAGAGGGAGATGAGCTCGAAGCGGCCTTGGAAGGAGACCGTGGAGGTGGCGGCGGCGGCGGCGCGGGAGGAGGAGGGAGTGGCGCCGGTGGATGCGGCGGAGGAGGATGGCGGCGAGGAGGGCGGCGCGGAGGCGGTGGAGGAGGCGGGGGAGTGGCGGAGGAGCGTTAGGTTTGAGACGGTGCCACGCGCCGAGAGGACGCACAGCGCGCGCTGGCGCTTGCGGGCGAAGGTGGCGATGGCGTCCACGATGTCGGTGTTGGGCGCGATCTCCAGGACGTGGGGGCGCATCCCGGAGCCCGTGTCGCGCGTGATGATGATGGGCGGCTTGGGCTTGTTCTTGGATCCCGGCGGGCGGCCTCGCGGCTTGCGGACGGGGGCGACCACCTCACCGCCGGATCCAGCACCGCCACCGCCGCCACCTCCGCCACCTCCGCCGGGAGATTTCTGGGCTTGCGGGCTTTGCTGGTGCTGAGGCTGCTGCTGCTGCTGCTGCTGCTGTTGCTGCTGCTGTTGCTGGTGGTGGTGGTGAATCTGGTGGTGGAGGTGGTGGTGGTGTGGATGTTCTAGCTCCTTGTTCCCACTGCTGCTGTTATCTTCGTCCTCGGAGTGCTGGTGTGGAGGAATTTCTTGCTGCTGCTGCTGCTGCTGTTGCTGGTGCTGGTGGTGGAGCTCGAGCATCTGCTGGAATGGAAATGCCGCTGGAAACCTGGACGGATTCATCCTCTTTCTTTCCCTCACTCCTCGATCGATATGTCTATCTCTCACTCTCTCTCTCGATGATGGTGATGGTCGATGAAACCCAAGAGAAAGAACCACCCAAAGATCTCTCCTTTGTTTTGCTTACCACCCAGAATTCCTGATCATTCCGGCCGGATCATCCAGCGATTCTTTCTCTCGCTCTCTTCTCCTCCTGGCTGCGCCAAAGTTTATAAAATTCTCTATGCTACTATATACCACTGTTCAAACTAAGCTCCTCGTGGAAGATCTTGGAAGCTTCCACTGGTGGGACGATGCCGAAGAGAGAAAGAGAAGGACGAGCGCCGGCCATGGACTGGATGAAGGAGGAAAAGTTCTTATAGCGAGAAAGAAGAGAGGAGGAGAAGAACTTAGAAGAACCAACAACGAAGTAGCAGTAAGTGAAGTGATCCGCGCGATCGATCGATGTCAATGCTGTGAGTGAGTACCAAGTGACCGCAGCATGACACAAGAATGCCCCACGGTCGCAGCGATGAATTTGGGCCTGGACAAAGCGCTGCTCGCTCTCACTGCTGCTACACTCACTGCTGCTACTGAGGAGGAGGAAAAAAGAGAGAGAGAAAAAAAGAAAGAAAGAGAAGAACTTATGTCTGTCTAGCTATGAGCGAATGATCTCCTCCCTTCCAGTTCTTCCTTGCTACAAGTTACCGCTATAGGTACTATCCAGGCTATGGAAATCTATCATCCTCTATCCATGGACTTATAATCACCATCTCCATTTCCCAAGGCAGCGTACTGCGATCATCGATCACGCTATCATGATCCACAGGGCGAGGACGAGCAGCTCCTCCTGGATCCATCTCCATTTGCTGCAAACAGCACCACCATCGCTAAGCTCCGCTCCCTCTCTCTTCGATGGATCGATCCAGCAAAACTCTAGCTCCTGTTCATCAATCCGTGAGGGTGCAAGGAGGAGGAATTCATCTCAAGAAGAAGAAGGAGAAGAAGAAGAAGAAGAAGAAGAAGAATCTGTGGAAACCCATGAACAGTTTCTAAGCTGCAAGACGATCCATTTCCAACTCTAGCTTGTGATCTTTCTAGCCAAAAAAAAAGGAGAAAAACCTCTCTAAGCTGTGAGTAAAAGAACCTCTCTTCCTGCTCGTCTCCAAGAATCCTAGAAACAGTGATGGGAAGAAAAACAATGCCCAAGTTTTCCTCATTGTCGCCATTGATTATTGCTAATTAATGGCGTCTTTGTGACCGGATTAATTAGCGAGCGTGAAGCTTGTCGGTACTCGTTGGTCCAAAAAATGGCAGTGGTGGGATTCTAACGTCTGCTCCTGCCCCCTGTCACCGCCTGCGCTCTGGCCGCATTCCTTGGGACTAAGCACGCTTATGGCGACAGCAAATGCCCTTCTTGGGCATCTTGATAGGGATCGATTACCTCAAAGATTTGGGGACTAATCACTTGGGATTTTCGGCTTTCTTTCGCGTGAAATCGTCGACAAGCTCCGTCTGCATCAGCTTGATACCAACACATGTTGGTGTTTTGCTCATTCCTTGGTTGTTTTGTCTTGTTTGGGTTCCTTTCTTTGGCCTTTGATTGAGATTTGATTTTTATACGTGGTCAAAGTGAAAGGCTTTCTTTGTGTAGGACATAATCGTCCAGGACCAGAGTGTGGAGGTGAGGCAGATTGATATCTAAGTCCCAACGGAGGGCGAATGGGTCGATTATGATCGATCGATCGACAAGCTGTCGGCTTGGAGTTGATCGAATGGAGAGAAAAAAGGACAAGGAAAAATGGGGGAGAAAACGCGGCTGCTTTTACTTTTTTAGCCTGCACAGCCACCCAGCAACCCAACCGCCAAAGTTATGGTACGAGATTGGACACCAATTGCGAAGAATTCCGCGAGCATCAATCTTTCCTCTCGCTCGCTGCGATTTCAAATCAAGTGTTTGAACGATTTTTGATTCCTCTTTCTGACAAAAGCAAGAACAAATCCGTGACACCGCCGCTAAAGACAAAGAGAAACCGCTTTATCCATCCACAGATGCCTGAACCTGGCAAATGCAAACTCCAGTACTGTTTCTCCATCCCAAACCTTACAAAACAAGGACTAGATTTCCAAGCCCTGCTCTCACAGGCGCGCCCAGTCTGCCGTGCTCGGAATCCGCTTTGTTGCACGCAAATCTTCAACGAGCAGCATTTGCCGTGCTGCGGTATTTGCTGGGAATCCGACGGTCGCGATGGTTTCGCCTTGTGGGCTGTGCCGGGTGCGATTATACGCAGAAGCCCACGTGCAGTAACGCTCGAAGCCATGCCCTGATGCTTTTTTCAAGGCTGTTTGCTACCCCGGCTGTCATGCACACACCCGTGTGTGGGCGTGGGCGAATGAATCCCTTCCTTGAGCCGCTCAGAAATCACGAATCCGGAATTCGAGAGAGAGAGGGGGGGAGCAAAAATAAGCCCTGCTGCTGCTGCTGCCTCACTGCGCAAGCCCGACGAACAATGCAAAGCCTTGGAACAAACACAAGCGTTTTGTTGTTCGCGAAAGAAAGGAGACGAGTAAAAGAAAGATGGATTGGGAGAGAGAGAGAGAGGACAGGGACCTTGGAGCACGACTCTCGCTTGATTCCTGAGCGGATTCAAGTACTCGGCCCGCGTACTGGCAGGCATTTGCATTGAGAGGCGTGAACACTCATGGAGTTAGCTCACAATGGATGGAAATGGGGAATTTGGCATCTTCCCGGCCACGAAGAAGATTACCGCGAATATCCTGTCTCTTGTTCCTGAAATCTTCTACATGGTCGCAGGAAAATCGCGACTTTGTATCCCCGCAGCCGCAGGGGCCATAAATTCCGGGGCAGACGAACAAGTCTCCACCGTCGTCACCCTTGGAATCCCAACGTTGGGCAATTACAATTAAATACAGGTCTTCTCGTGAGAGATTTCGCAGATCGTCCAAAAACCCAGAAGAAGCTTTGGTGTTAGCTTCGGTGCTTCTCTTTCCCGTCGTACGTACTTGGTACGAATGAAAAATACCGAATCTAGAAACACCCACTCCAGCTGCCAGGAGCCCTAATTGGTCGAGACGATACGATCCATGCGGTGGTGGCGTCTCATTATGAACTTCACGAACTCTCCCTGTACGAAAACAGTCCCGCGAGACGTACCGTACGCTCGTGAAGGCCAAAGTACGATCATGTGCGCGTATATCCCCTGGAATATTAGGGCTGGTACGGTTTCTACGCAACTTGTCTGGGGGTTGAACGTGAAATGCGTCACTTTCGGCGCTCCACCACCGCCCGAAATTTCCCAGAGAGTTTTTTCTTCGGAAAGTCTGCTGTTCTTGACCGAGATTTCGTTGTCGAGCATCACATGAGAGGATCTAGCTAGGCAGGCTGCTGCAACATATACAACCTTGTTTTGCCACCTTTTTTGCGCTGGAGCCCCTGCTTATAAAAGTTGGCGGACAACTTAGCTGG